AAACACACTTCACGCGAGAGCTCCAATCCCGCCCGCCCGTAGTCGCCCACCCACCCCAGTCCGAGCAACATGAGAGGCGAGCCTGAAAAGTGACGGCGCAACCACGCATGATGCATGGCGAAGTGATGGAAGAGGGCGCGGGCAGCGGAGGTAGCGCGCAATCTCGCCAAGGGCAACGCGGCCCCATAGGCAAGTTGCGGCCGATGTGCCTGCAGCGAATCTTGAGAACGCCCCATTGCCATTCTGGCTTCAAGCGCACCGCGCGCGACTTACAGCGCCCCCGCGGCCCGTCCACCGACCGCCCCCCTCCAGGGACGACGGTTCGCCGAGCCCCGGGGCGTTTCCGCAGCGCGTGTGCGAAGGGGTCTGGAAATTCATTCGGGCGGAGCGCGCGGGCAAATATGCGTTGAGGATGTGGCTTGCGGCCCTCTCGCGCAGCCTCTGAAGCGCGGGGCGGGCGCGAGCGGCGCGGACATCGTCGCGCCAGCCCTGCGCGCTGGCAAGACGCGGCGGGGGCAAGCGCGCTCGCTCCAACAACTGCGCAATGGAGCAGGGTCGCTCCCAGCATGCGGCCGAGCATTTTCCAGCGCAGAAGCGAACGATAGCGGCGCGGTCCTGCGCATGCTCTCCGAGGCCGCGCAGGGCAGGCAGCCGAACGCGATTCGCTGTCCAGAAGGATGCGCGCCAACTGCTTGCCCAGCCAAGTAAAGAGACTGAGGAAGGAGCAACAGCTGAGAAGGTTGGCAGGGCATTCAGATCAGCGGGGCTGAGGCTGTTCGGCGGCATTCTGAGCAACGCACGCAGCCCCCGGCGTCCCAGCTTCCGAAGATGGGCAGGGACGGGAAAGAGCTGAGCCAGGTAAGAGAGAATGGAAAGGGCCCTCGAATTCTACAGGTTCGCGAGAACACTAGGGGCAGCACCGGAGCGGGGAGGGGCAATAATGCGGGTCCACCTTTTCCATGCAGCGGGGCCCCAGATGACTCTCAAAATGGCGGCGGGCCCCATTTCAACCTGGGGGTAGGCGGCGCGACCGGCAATCTTGAAATCGCGCCACTGCGGGGCCCGCCGTTGCAGCTCAAGACGGATCCTACCTTCGATTGCGTCCGCGCAATCAGCCCGGAGCCCCATTCGAGCTTGAGCAGAGCAAAACGTTTGACGCCCTTAACAGCTGCGGAGACTCCCGCGAAGTCCCGAAGGCGAGGCATCACCATGCCAACGTCGTCCGCACAATCCCCATGGGTGCCCTTGCGTTGCCTCGCCCGCGAAATCTGGGCGGCTGCGCGCAGGAGGCGCAACATTGGTCCATGGCTAGATCCCAGAGCGACCCTGAGAGGGGACATCCTTCTAGAGCGCCTGGGAACAGATGGAACAGGGAAACTACTTGGTTTTGGATCCGAGCACATCCCCTCGGCAGAAAGTCAAGCGCCAGAAGGAAACTGAAGGCTCCAGCTGGGGGGGGGAGATCTACTCAGGATCTCAAACAGCTGTTGATGGCCCAGACTCGGGAGGGCTGCCTCCACGTCGTAGGCGGCGAACGTTGGGAGGTCCGAGTCCGCCTCGGGATAGATGCTGGCCTGGCGGGCCACGGCGTCCACGCGGATGATGTTCGACGGGAAGTTTCGCCCTGGGATGAAGCCCTGTTGGGATTCGCGCGCTTATTCCTGGGCGGCCTTGAAGATCTGGAAGTTTGCAGCGCTGGCCATCCTTTTTGCGTCAGTACTACGCAGGCTGAGGGGCCGTGCCTTGCCGGGCTTCCGATCGCACTCCCGGGCGTCTTCAGGTTCCGCCCCTTTAAGTAGAAACGCGAATGGTCGATCGTTGCCCCAGTGGGGCAGCGCGCCCAGCATACAGATGGCGCATAAGACGATGTCAAGCAGTTCGATGTTCGGGCAGCGCTTCGCACGCAGCGCAGCTATGCCGACTGGGCCCAGGGGGGGCAGAACGCCCAGCATGTCTAAAAGCACTGCGAAGGTCACCTCGAGTGGGAAGCCGAAGGGGAAGCTGGGCATGCTGGGGGGGGCGGCTTAATCTAGGCAGCCCTTCAGGGCCTGAACATCAACGATCATAGCTCCAGAAATCGGTCTCCAGTGGGCATTTAGCGCAGCTATGGCTCCAGGAACTCGGGCATTATCCAAGGTCTCGCGGAGGCCTTCAGGACGGGCCCGCGCGAACACTGGACGCTGAGCTTGAGGGGCCCAAAGGTTGGGGCGGCGCTTGCGCGTGCGAGCGGCGCGCCGCTCGCCCTCCGCTGCTGCCCCCTGCCCCCTGCGAGCCGATTCGGGAGCCCTGCCTTGAGCGGCTTGGCCCCCCGCTGGATGAAATTGCAATTCTGAGCGTTCATGATGGTGGCGAAGTTGGCCCTATCCTGCAACTGGACCACCCCGTCTGAGACAGTCAGGAAGGGGCCCCGCATTCACCGGCAGCGCGCAGCTTCTCCGCCGCGAGGTCGCCGCTGCGCCGGGCGCAGCGGGGGGCGGCGCGCAGCGCGATCGTTCGGCCACCATTTGCGCGAAGGTCTCGGTCAGACATCGGGAGTCGCTGTAGCTCGTCACGTACTTGGCGGGCAGCTTCGATCATTAAATCCATCATGCGTCGCAATTGATAAGCCGCTGGGGGACGATCCAGCTGCGCAGCACACAGCAGCTGTTGAAGCATCGCGGGACAGCGTGGGTCTCGAACGACCAACTCTGGGATGATGGCACCTTGGCATTGTCGTGCTCGGTCTCGAAGGTGGGCGGCGATAGGCGCGTGGTCGCTCACCCCTGCGTCCGAGATGGCCGCGGCGCCCATGCCCACCTCAACTGGCGCATCAACGTCGAGCAGGGCGTGGACAGGGACGCCAATACAGACTCGATCTAGTGTAGACGCCGCCGCATCTCTGCAGTAAATGCACGGGGCAATCCGTGGAGATCTCCGTGGCCATGGCGAGCAACCGCTCCCAGTGGCGCTGGAGCGGTTGCCGGCGCGCATCAGGTGCGGGATGGACAACGGCATCTTCGCTGATGGGATCGACGCAGCTACGCGCGGGCCCAGCCTTGAGATTGAAACCGCCTGTTGCAACAAAGGCCCTTCGAGTTGGATATCGCATGCTCCCGCTCGCCAATTCTCGCCAGTTTGTTTGAATGCTTGCCTGATTGGCGGCGTCGTGGATCATCTTGCCCGCGCTGGCCCACTGGCGCAAGAAACGCTGTGCCGCCAGCCTTCTGTGAGGGAGAATTGTAGAAGACCTCGCAAGGGTGAAGGATCTGCGAGAGAGAATTGTAGAATACGTTGGAAGGGCAAGGGTCGGCCGGAATAGCTGTCTGCAGTTTGATCAACGCGCAACGACACTCTTGTAATATAACGGCAACACCCTTACGCGTGCACGTGGCCAACGCATTGAGTTTGGCTTTCCGTCGTGCAAGCTGCGGGCATTCCAACGAATCGCACTTCCATTCCTTTTCTTGGCTCCCGTCGCCCATGGTGACAATCTCCTGCCAAATAAACCACGTAGATGTATCCACGCGTGCGAATGCCTGTCCAACAGCAGCCACCAGCGGTGATTTGCCAATGTTGACGCGCGCGATGGTCGCACGATCCCAACGCAACGCGGATGGCCCCATCAGCACCGTGGACCTCAATGACCACAATAGGGATCGTATCGATCGTGATGGTGCGATTTGACCTCTGTACACCGATGCTGTGGTTGTGGTGCACTTCTTGCAAGGTGCGCTTCGGTTGCAAGTCGATCCGCACTTGTTGAGGACTCTTGTCGGCATTGACGTGCGTGGAGGTGGTGGTGCCAGCCGTGTCCACTGTGTGAAATGGTATGAAGCCAGCTGGTCTTCTGAGAGCACGGGAGAAGGCCACGGAGCGGGCTGGCGCGGCGGCTCCTCCCATAACTTGAAGATGGGAGCGTCGCTGTGGCACGTCATCATGAAGCTAAGCTGACCAGCAAGTGCGCTCGAAGCATAGATCCATTTTGCCAGGGCTGCTGTAACTGCCTGAAGTGCGATGGCACGTGGGCCCCCGACACAGAACAATGTAGGTTCTGGATCTCTCTCCAATTCTGCCAACTTCTGGATGTCGAAGGGGACGACCGACTCTGCCAATGCCATTGTTTGCTCCATGGCTTGTAACTGTTGCCGCATGTTTTGGTGATCAGCTTCCACGCGTTCAGCTTTAGATTGAAGGTCGTGGATGCTCTTGCCGTGCACATGCCAGCTGTCGGGCGATGAACAAAACTACACAGATATGGATGTCAGCGACGCAGCGCGTCAGGAAGCTGGACGTCGGACATGCAGCACCTGTGGTGGACCAGGACTTGTATATGGAAGAAAATACTGGGCTGCTGGATTGTTGACCGGGAGCCGACCCTGCTGAGGCAGTGAATTGAAAAGCACTTTGGCCTTAATGGTTACGGAAGGAGGAGGAGAAGGAGAGAGGAGACGCAGAAGCAAAAGCAGAAGCAGGAGGGTGAGGAGAAACGAGGAGGTGGTGGATCGTTACGTGGGCGCGAATGGATCGACGACGATGCATATTGCAGACGCGTTCGATCAGAAGTCTTGCTATAAGGGCGACTACGGGCCACGCTTGTCGTCGAGCTCTTAGTTTCCGGAGGTGCCCACAGGCTTCTGCGGGCCACCAGGACCATCGGGATATACGAATCGTCCGTAGGGCTCCTGCTGGCAGTTTGTATCATATCCGACGTGCCTATTGCAATTTCCTGCCGCCAACAGTCCACCGCCTTCCCTCCCTGCCCACCCTGCCCCTATTACATTTCCCATCCCCCTCTCAATTCGTCAAATTCCCGTCCCTGTCCTCTGCCGCCCCATCCCCCTTCCTCGACCGCTTCCGCTGTCCTCAGCGAGGACGAAAGGCCCTCTTTACGGAAAAACCTTGGAACTTTCAGGACGATGAGAGATACAGCTAGCTGCTGCGCAATGTCCCTGTCGCTGAGATCTTCGATATTTCGATTGGCTCGCCTGCTCGTTAAAAAGGATGGGGGAAGGTAAGGATGCCTTGTCGCTAAAGTATTCGATCTTCTGCGTCGCCTCGTTGGCGATCGCTATCAGTAGCGTCTTCGGCGCCTGCAGCAACGTCGCGAAGGCCCAGGCCAGCATGGAGAGCTCCACAGGTTGCGCTGGTCGCCGCTGCTCTGATTGATCCTCCTCCTCCTCCTCCTCCTCCTAATCCTCCTCCTCCTCCATCTCCCCTCTTCCAGCTCCTGCCCGTCCTCCTTCTCCTCCTCCTCCTCCTCCTCCTCCTCCTCATCATCATCATCATCATCATGGGCCTCCACTCCGCCATGCTCTCACCTGCTGGGCTCCCCCACGGCCCCCTCCTCCTCACACATAGCCACCACCACCACCTCCACCAACATGAGCTACCTCGGCCTCGTGTCCCTCGATCGCCTCCCCTGCCTCATCTGCCCCTACTAAACACCACCGCATGACGAACCATACAATGGCAAACATCCGAGCCGAAACTCGAGTACCTCATAGACCACCCTCCAGGCGATAGGTATGTGGGGGGGGGGGGAATGCAGCGTGGCGTTTGGCGTTGGAGTTCGGCTGGTACTACAGGTGCCGAATGTCTGCCGAACCATGTACCTATCGACGGCTCGCCTGCCCAACACATGGTCTCGGGTGTTGCACGTGGGATACCGATGCCGATGACGGTGACGATGGGTGACTTGGTTGTTATGGAACTGTCCCAACTGATGAAACAATATACACCACGCGAAATGGTTAAGAAATCATGGGTGAAGAAATTCATGGTCTCAGAACTTGAAGAAAAACCCAACATGTCCATCAAAATCTTAGGATTTACATTGAAACGTTAAGAATAATCGAGACTCTGGCCGAAAACTTAGGTTTTCTTAAGCATCGCCTAAGGTGTACCGTACTCCTATGTACCATGTATGTGTATGGCCGTGTTTGTATCTAGACGTGCGCTTCAATATGCAACCGCAAATGCCATACCCGACACCCGCCTTGCTGTGTGCGACCTGCCCTGTCATCTACGATGTAGTTCTGACAACCTGATCTGAATCCAGAATTGCATGCCACCTTGCGTTTCGACGCTAACTTCTTACGGGAACACCAAACAGACAACTCACGGGGCAATCTACGGAACAACCCATGGGAATACCACAAGACACCCACGGGACAACCCACAGAACAACCCACGGGTCAACCCCCAGGACAACCGCCAAGACAACCACGGGACAACCACGGGGCAATAACGGGACAACCACGAGACAACCCACGGGACACCCACGGGCCAACCACTAGATACACCGCGGAACAGTCAACAGAACAACCGCAAAACGACCGACGGGAAAACGTACGGGACGATTCACGAAACAACCCTCGCGAACAAACCACGCGACGAGCACGGGACATTCACGGGACAAACTGAGGGACAACCACGGGACAATCCACGGGACAACATACGGGAGAACCCACGGAACAACCGCGGAACAACCACCCGACGACCCAGAGGACTACCCCAGGAGACACCGAGAGGCCCACGGAGGAACTTGTTGTTCGACTTGGCCCCAGCCTCGCGCGACACATCGTCACCCCAGCGGAGCTTCGCCTCACCCGCACGCGAAACAGGATACGAAACCGATTTCCAAGTTGGCGTCCCCTTTTCTACCATAGTACGTACTGCCTCCTCCCAGCCAGGCCGCTCAGAATCGGTATCGGGACCGCCGCCGAGCACTCTCCTCCTCCTCCTCCTCCTCCTCCTCCTCCTCCTGACCCCCTCTGTCCTGACAGAGTGTCCAATTCACAACCCTCTTCTGGACCTACCCTATGGGCCTGTGGGCCAGCATTGACAGCCCAAATCACCACTCGGAAACGACTTGCTGGGTCCTGCTGTAATCTCCTGACCCTCCTGTCAAGTCGGCGTCCGCCTCCTCCGTGCCAAAATGCTCTTGCGCCCGCGCCTTGCGGCGCCAACGTCGCCGCAGTCGACGAGACCAGCCGCAGCAGCCGCTGCATGGCGCCGTCGCCGCGCGCTGGCCGCATGCGCGCCAGGCCCGCAGCGACGCTGGCGCAATGGCCGGGGGCGACCTCGGTGGCGCCGCCGTGGGCGGAGGCGGCAGCGGCAGACGCACGTCGACCAGTCACAACCGGGGGAAGTTCGTACCTTTCCCGTGGGGAGAATGACAACAGCTCCCCCAATTGTGGCCGGCCTGTGACGGGCGCTCTTGCCCAATGTCGGCCCCCCAGACCCTCGCGGATCGATCTGGCTCGAAGAGCGGCGCATGGAGACGGGGTCGCTAGCCTCGATCGTATTTGTTGCACGGCGTCGTTGACGGAAATAGCTGGAGGGAGAACACCCACGGCGAAGTTTCCCGCGCTATCCTTGCCCCCCCGGCCTGCAACGTTGCCCGCCTCCCCCAACTTTCAGTGCGAGGGAGAGGGAGGACCAGGTGCCTCCTTCATTCCCCATCCCTCCTCCTTCTCCTACCCGTCCTCCCTCCCCTTCTGCCTCCTCGTCCTTCTCTCTTCCTCCTCCCCCACTGCCCCCTGACCCCCACTGCCCCTGAACCCACTGACCCCCACTGCTACCGTTCTTCTCCCCCGCTGCCCCCTGACCCCCTGGCCCTAGAATCTGCCGAATGACCTAAACCAGATCGAACCAACCCCAACCTCCAAGAACCTCATCCTGCTGCCGCCTCCTCGTCCTCTTCCTCTTCCTCTTTCTCGCAGTTTGCCCACACAAGATCCTTCTCCGTTCCTCCTCCTCCCCCTCCTCCTCCTCCTCCTCCTCCTCCTCCTCCTCCTCCTCCTCCTCTCCTCCTCCTCCTCCTCCTCCCCCTCCTCCTCCTCCTTCCTCCTCCTCCTCCTCCTCCTCCTCCTCCTCCACCTCCCTCCTCCTTCCCCCCTCCGACACGTATCATGCCTCCTTCAGTATCCCTCCTCCATCCGCCTTCATCCTCCTGGTCCTCCTCCTCCTCCTCCTCCACCTCCTCCTCCTCCTCCTCCTCTCCCTCATCCTCCTAATCCTCCTCTTCCATCCTTCCTCCATCCTTCTCCATCGCCCTCTGCGCACTCCGCCCTCCTTCATCTAGCGCAGTCCGTGGATGGAGCTGGCAGGTCCAGGAAAGCCTAGCACTATCACGTTGGCCATCCAAGGAGTGTCCTGAGAAGCGTCGCAAGCGCATTACCATCGTACGGAGACCTTGTGTGGTTTCTGTCTTCCCATCCAATCCGCTCACCCTACTCATTGCCACACTTACTCATTGCCACACTCAACCGTCATCACGGGCGGCGAGGGGCCATTCCAGACTTGACACCATACTCCTTGTGTAGAATACATAAATACATACATGCATGCATGCATGCATGCATACATACATACAGACAGACAGACAGACAGACAGACAGACAGACATACACACATACATACAAACATACAAACATACAAACATACAAGCATACAAACATATAAACATACAATCATACAATCATACATACATACATACATACATGCATGCATGCATGCATACATACATACATACATACATACATACATACATATACATACATACATATGTAATCATATATACATACCTGCATTGGCGCTTCGCGCCATGCGCTTTGTTCCGGACCCTCCCCGGCAAAGCAATACATGATCGTTTGCTTCAGCGGGGGGGGCCTCGAAGCCTGGACGGGCGACCGGTTCATTTTTCTGATGTCCCTGGTGCCTGCTGACACCGCGTTCGCCCGATGCGCTTGCACGCTTGTGCGCAGGAGCTGGGGGCATGATGTTTTTTTCACGCGCGAAGGTCCTTTGAGGAAGTAAGGAACGATCTCATGGCACGCCGAAGAAGTCGCAGTAGCACCGAACAAATCGATGTTTGGTAGCTTCCTGTATTCCTGGAAGGCCCCAGGCAGTCAGGAGATCTCCGACCGTCGAACTTCGAATTTAGATCAATTGCCTGTCTCTCTCGATCGAGGAACTGAAAACTTCGAGCCTCAAGCGTGGAACCAAAATCGTCGGGTCAGCTCGATGTACTTCGAAGGAAAACGACGTCTGGGCGTTTTGGGGCTCTTTTGGGCCGTCCTGGGGCCCTCTTGGGCCGTCCTGGGACCTTCTTGGGCCGTCTTGGGTAGCTGGGGCCCTCCAGAGGTCTTCTGAAGCCATCTAGGGCCCTCTTGGGGGCCTCCAACGGCCTTCTTGGGGGTCTCCCATGGCTTTCGTGGGTCTCTCTTGGGAGCCTTCTGGGGGCATCTTGGGCTTCTTGCGGGCAGTCTCGGGGCTCTCTGGGGCAGTCTTGGGGCCCTCTTGGGCCGTCTTCTAAGCCTCTGGGGAGCCTCTTGGCCGTCTTGGGGCGATATCTGGGACCAATCGGGCCGCTTTGGACGCTGCGAAGTCCCAAACAGCGGATATGTCAAACTTATGCATTTCCCCGAAGGAATGGGACGATGGTTGCTTCTTCGGGGTTTTAACAAGCTCTTGGGGCGTCTTGGGGGCCTCTTGGGCCGTCTTCAGACCACCGAGGATCCTCTTGGAGCGCTCTGGAGCTGTCTTGGGTCTCTCTTGCGCCTCTCCGATGACCCCTCTGATCGCCTTGAGTCTGCTCGCAAGGCCCGGCAAGGCGCCCTGGGAGGCCCGGAAGGGCCAGCGGACCTTTTTCAAGGGCGTCCAGGGGGCCGCTGAAACGTCCGAAAGGGTGTCCAGGGCGTCCCTGGGGGAGGGATCCGCTTTAGAAATATATAGAAATAAGAATATGTGGACGCCCCCCCTCCGCCCATTGCCAGACTATCCACGCTCGATGCTCCTCCGAGGCAGCGAGAGGTTGTTCGAAGCCATCTGAGCGCTGAGTAGGTCAGCGTGTTTTCTACTGTCGGGATGGAGGAGTCTCCCAGCAGGTCCCACGCAAGGATCACCATAGAGGCTATGCGGGGCTGCCCGAGGCCATCTGAGCGTTGAGCAATGACGCAGCGTCCTGTTCTCGGGACGGAGGTGCCCCCGCACCGATTCCTCTGGATTCGGCCCCAGGGAGCCGAGGACCACTCCCGAGGGCCTCCTCGCAGTTTGCCGCGCAGACGGAGAAGCTGCTCCGGTCCCAGTATATCTCGAGCCGGTACACCAGCTCCAGGAGCCGTGCGTCGCGGCGGTGCTGCCGGCGGCTCTTTTCCTCGATGTCTAACCCATGCCCGGGGGGGGGGCCCTCCTACTCCTCCCACCCTTCATTTTTTTGTTCCTCCTCCATCTCCCCCTCCTCGTTTTCCTCCTCCCCCTCCTTCCTCCTCGTCTTCCTCCCCCTCTGTTTTGTTTTGGTATTATTCTTATTATGGCTATTCTTCTTCTTAGTAGTATGATGTGTCTACTTATTATTACTATGTTCCTTCCTGCTCCTGCTCCTCCTTCTTCTCCTTTTCCTCCTCCTCCTCCCCCTTTCCCTCCCCCTTTCTCTGACCCTGCTGGGAGGCATGGTTCCCCCCGGTGCTGGGAGGGGAACACGGACGTGGCGCAAGCGCGCGGCCCGCGCGAACACGTCCCGATGCCCCGTGCCGTCGTGGACCCATGGCCCCATGGCCCCCCGCACCACTAGCAGTCTGCAAGCAAAAAACACAATGGCCCTCGCGACAGGATCTGGTCTCTGAATCCATAAAAGGGGGAATCCCCAGAGGCCCAAGGCTCGCGAATCTCCCCAAATCTGTGCCTGAGCGCGGGGGGGGGGGGGATAGGGATAAATAGAGAGAGAGAGAGAGAGAGAAAAAAAAAAAAAAAAAAAAAAAAAAAAAAAAAACATAAAGAGAGAGAGAGAGAGAAACAAAAAGAGAGAGAGAGAGAGAGAGAGAAGCAGACAGACAGACAGACAGACAGACAGACAGACAGACAGACAGACGGACAGACGGACAGACGGACAGACATATATTGACAGACAGACAAACAGACAGACAGACAGACAGACAGACAGACAGACAGACAGACAGACAGACAGACAGACAGACACACACAGACAGACACACAGACTCTCTCGGGTTCCCACGTCGCTGGGGCCTCCCCCAACCACGCCTCGAGGGCGCGCCCCAGCCGCGCCTGGGGGACGAGGGCCATGACGCAGAACGCCGCGAGTCTCGCGTGGTGAAACGGCCCAGCTGTATCTGGGGGCCCCGCCGGATTGCACCAGTGCGATCGCGGGGGCTTCAAAAAACTACGCGTGCCTGGTCGCGAGTCGCAGACAACGCGCCGCACGCCAGGGGAGCGAGAGAGAGAGGGAGAGGGAGAGGGAGGATAATAAGACACACCAGAAAAAAAACTCAATGCGAACGATTATCATAATACGAAGAACAATAAAAAAAAAACTAATAACAAGAATGAGAAGACCAATCCTAAACATCACAGTAATACTAAACACAATACTACTAATAATATCAACAACTAACAATATTACTTATACGACTAATAGAACTACTACTAATAGCAACAACAATACTATTAATAGTAATGTTGAGAATCATAATGATAGTAATACTAATAATACTAAGAAGAAGAAGAAGAACAAAAAAAGACTAAGCAGAAGTGCGGCGCCGAGCGAAGGCTGCAATCCTCGGGCTGCTACCCAGGGTTTCGCGTTTCACCCCGAACCTCCTCGGCCCCAGGACCCCCGTGCTTTTCGCAAACTCTTTACGGGTTTAGCACGGGCCCTCCTGGCCAAGCGGCGCGGGGGAGGAGGGGGGGGAGGAGGCGGAGGGGAGGAGCAGGAGCCCCGCTTATTCCAGGTCGGCTGCTTTGCGGAGCTGCCGGGCCGTGAAGCCCTGCAGCCCCGCGCTCAGGACCTTGTAGGCCCGCGCCAGATCGCGCTGCTCCTGGTCGCTGGGAGGCTGGCGATCCTGCTCTAACAGCCAGAGCCGCGCCTCGGCCCCGATCCTGCCGCCGGTCTCCAGGACGAACGGCGTCAGCTGCGCGCCAGGGTAGCGCGCGTGCTTGTCGCGCTCGCCCAGGCGCCCCGCTTCCCCGTCGCGCCGGGCGGCCGCCCTCAGCTCGGCGGCCAGGCCCGCCGCGGGGT